ATAAATAAGAAACTTCCGATGCAGGTTAGATATATCTCAAAAGACTAAGAAATATATCGAAGACTCCTAATCCTTTTTGGATTTCTATTTCTCTTAGTAAACTTATCAATATCAGTCTCATTCTCAATCCCACGTAATATGGTAATATCTTCATTCAAGAATATCTCAATTCCACATATGGATCAATCTCAATCAATCCCACAAAACATTAGATTTTCTAATGTGGGTGATCTTGGATAGCACCAAATTCAACTGTGACATGGTTTAAGATCCAATTTTTGCCTAATTTAGACCGGGAGTACGTTTAAAATCTTGTGTTTTTGTTTTTCTTTTTCTTTTTTTTTTGGTTTTTTTTTTTTTTTTTGGCCATTTAGACATTTCGATTTTTCTTAGAGATAATAGAGATTCTTTTTCTTCCTTTTATGTTTCTTTCTTCTCTCTGTATTTCACTTTTATTTGGCGGTGAAAGTGACTATATTTTCGTTTGAGGCATCACCTTTGTTTGATTTGGATTCTCTAATTTTAATCATTGGTCAATTTGTTGGTTAAAGAGAAAATAAAATGTTTGCCTGTTTGATTCATAAGCTTCATGAATTTCACCCCTTCTCTCTTCCACTAGCATACAGTAGGTCTCTAAACCTTGGTCTTCTTTTCTTGTGTTGAGTTGAGAGTTTAATACCATATTCAATCTAATTGCATGCTTTCTCAGCCTTCTAAGTTCATAAGCTTCTTTATTTCTCTCGCTTGAAACCACATTCTAAGGTTTTGATGTGGTTTCATTTGAGAGAGAGAGAGGTTTCATTTGCCTTGTTTAATTTATTATTTACCACAGAGAATGGAGCGTAAAAGGTGGATATTTTGAAAGGACACATCTGTGTTTGTCAGAATTTAATACGGGCAAAGCAGTCCTAACCCGTAAAACAGATAACTTTGTTTTAGAGAGAGAAACCATGAGAGAGAGAAACAAGTTATAAGGGGACAAGTATACTTCGAATACAAATTTAGAGAGAGAAACCCTGTGTGGGCTGATTAATAGTTATAAGGCAAGATTTTCGGCGGATTTCTGGGAATACTCAAAGTGTTTTCGGCGAATTTCTGGCGAGAATCGGCTAGGATTTAATAACAGATAACTTTTTTTTGTTTACTTTAATATCGATTTACCAGTTTATTTTAGAAAATTAAATAATCAAAATTTTATATATTTGCCTTTTTGGGTTTATGAAATTTAGGGTTTATCAATTTTGGAAAGTTATTTTGAATTTTTGTTGCAAGTTTAAGGTTATTTTGAAGAGCTTTTACGTTTGTATAAGACCTTCAAAACATTACCAGAGAAATTTTTTTAAAAAAGAGAAAAAAGCCTAATAATTATTGCAATGGATTTTATGTTCTGTAGAAGCCATTAAAACAAAAAAGAGAAACTACAAAAGAGTCAAAAAAAAAAAAGAACAAGAACAAGAAATAACTGCAAAAAAAAGAAGAAGAAAAAAGGACATGGAATAATTTTGGTGCACTTTTTTGTTTGTTTTACTTTTTCCGTCAGTTTCGGTTTGAAAAATACCAAAAAGAATAAACAGAAATAAAAATAAATAAATAAATAAATTCCTTTTTGAATTATATTTTATCTCTTTTTTCGAATTTTCATTTTTTATTCTATGCACTTTTTGGATTTTCTAAAAATCAGTGAAGCCCAAAATTTATTTTGGAAAATGAAAAAAGGACAAAACAGAAAATGATAAAATACAAAAAAAAAAAAAGAAGATATATATTTGGGGCATTGTATTGTTATTTGACTTATTCTATTGTTAATGAATGATTTGTTATTGTCTCTTTGATAATTATTTGAGTATTTTATTGGTAATGAGTATTTACTTATTGCTTGATGAATTATTCTTATTTATAATATCTATACATACTTGACATTTTGAATCTCATTTCATGTTGTGTTCTCCTAAAATTGCTGAGTCGCCTTTATGACATAGAGATAATTTTTAAATTTTGATATTGAAAAATATATTTTTATTTAGGTGAATATTTATGTATTTCTAGAAAGGGTGTGGTTTGAATAGAACCTAGCCGTTGTCTAAACGTTAAGACATGGAGATTTGGCGCAAAATTTAGAGGTGTCATTATCAGTAGATTTTTTTGATATTGGTTCCGTTATTAATCCCAACGGTATTCTCACGATTTTAAAAAAACGTTCTCACATTTTGGTAATAAATCTTTCCATTTCTTAGCCACTTCACTACAAATTTAAATTAAATTTCAAAAAATTTTGACTCAATTTGGAAAGTCCCTCCTCCCTCTCTGCAACTCTTTTCCTCACAGTTTCTCTCTCCTAAACCGATATATACTCTTTCTCTCTCCTTAAACAGAAGCTTGGCCCCAAAACTCTCTCTGGTACTGGCATGGTGATCAAGGAACAAGGAAAAAAAGGCTGGAAAGGAATGGGTCGACGAGCGATAGAGATCAAATACATAGAGAATAAAAACGCTCGCCATGTGACATTCTCTAAACGGCGTCTTGGGCTCTACAGAAAGGTGTTTGATTTATGTATAGATGGAGGAGCAGAGTGTGCGGCGGTGCTCACTTTCTCAGAAGCAGGTAAACCCTTCCCCTTTCTGTATCCTCACACCGACTCTGTCCTGCAAAGGTTCATCCAAACTCAAGACCCCAACAATCAACAAGCCTCCTCATCTTCTTCGCAACCTACTGGGCGTGTGCACGACCCCTTGATGGAGGAGTACTATGGGTTGGTGAAAGAGCTGGAGGCAGAGGAGGCGCTGAGCTTTGCGCTGAATCAGAGGACACCCAAATTTGGGTCTGGGTCCGGGTCAAGGTCAGGCTTTTGGTGGGAGGCCGACATGACAAGGATGGGGCAACAAGAATTGAAGCGCTGGGCCATTGCACTTGAGACACTGAGGGAGATGGTGGCTAGGCGAGCATTTGAGGTCCAGGCGAGCGTGAACCCAATTGGGGAGGGCTCAACTCACATGGCCCAAGTCTGTTGCAGTCCTGTTGAGCACTCCAGCCCATTGGAGGTCCCTGAGGATTCGAGCGAAGTGGGGTCTGGCGCAGTGGAAGTGGGTGGGAGTTTTGAGTATGAGGAGGAAGAGGAGGAGAAGAGATGGGGGGTAGCAGCAGAGGAGGTGCCTGCATGGTGGTGTTGGAGTGATTGTACTCCTCCTACCTGCTGATATTTTCTCAACTTTTCAATAGCGACACCAGAAGAAGAAGAATTAGTAAGTGAGGGGAGCAGTAAAAAGGCACAATACTTTATTTATTTATTTAGATCCTTATCTTTCTAGTAGGTATTAGTTGGGTCCATGTTCTCTATCTTCAATTTACCTCGGTTTTGTCTTTGAATTCCTTTTTGTTTGTATATAACCTCCCTGCTCCCTGGTTTCATGCTCGTTTTTTTTTAGGGCTTTGAGGCTGGAGAGAGAAAGAGAGAGAGAGAGAGAGAGGTGAATGTATTTTCTTTGTTTTTGTAGATTTTTAGTTCTTGGGCTCTAAACATAGTACATTACATTGTTTATTTTAATTAAGTACAAGGCACGCATTTTTCATCTGATATTTTTTGAAGCTGCTTCAATGTACGTTAGTGTCAATATCTTCATTGATCTGCTCTTGTTTCCTCTCTTCTTTTTTTTGAATTATTTTTTTTGCCCTATTCTCCGATTATGGCTTGAGATTCAGTTCTGTTTATGATTCATTTTCTGTTCAAATTGAAATATTTACTTGTTTTCTTTAAGACGAGTTCATTTTATGCTTTTTTTTTTAAGGCGTTATTTTTTAAATGATTTAGCCAAGGTTTTTGCTAGGAATAATCGTGTAAATACTTGAAGGATCAGTTCTTGTTATTGTAAAATTGGTTAATCTAGAATCTAAGACTCTGGGCCATTAATTGTGAAATTCAGTTACATTTGCCATCAGGATTGAAGTTGTTTAACCATTTGATTGAACTTGCATTTCTTGGATAATTACTTATTTTTAACTTGAATGTTTTTTATACTAGAGGTTAAGCTAGATTTAACCATAGCTAAGTGGCATTTTCTGGTCTCAAGTTTCAGCATTTTTGGAATTTTTGGTCTTTTTTTTCTCAATTTTCTGAAATCTTCCTTATGTATCGACGTTTGAATGTGTTCCTTTATTCACATTGATTGACTTATTTTGGGGTTCATTATTATATTAAATAGTTAACATAGTGGCCTGGATCCGCTTTTTGAAAGAATTAAATTACATTGAGTTTTCTTTTCTTCAAGATCTGTAAAAAGAAAAAATTGATTAGGCTAAATATTTAGGGGCAACACCTCATGCTGCTTTGTTTATGTGGTTATTTTTGTCCTTCAGTTTTGTATCTGAAGTATGTTTGTGGGATAGTTACTTTTTCCTTATTATTTGTATTTGTATATAGGGTACAGGTTCATGCTGCTTCAACCATAGATCAAATCTTATGATAATGGGTTATTTTTGCCATGTTTGTATAACATTGTATTGACAGAAACATAGAATAGGAGTCTCTTGATGAGTATTATAGACATGCCGGTGTATGTAAATTTAGCTTTCAATGATTTGATGGAAAATATTTATATTTTAGGTACTTCATTGTGAAAGTCATTTGGGGTGTTTGGATGTCAAACCATTTTCATCATGAGAAAAGTGCTGAGGGACATTTCATCCATTTCTCATGAAGAAACTGGAATTTTCCTTGCTGCATTTTTCATACTGGGCTCGTTTGGTTCGTGTGAAAACTTCCATCATGAAACAGGTTTCATATAAAACCTACAGTTACACTGGTTCGTGTGTAAATTCGATTTAAACCTTTTCCATAGGAAATAGTTTTACCACTACAAGAAGCAAAGAAGCAAATCTTGTGAAAAGCAATTTCCATCTCACGAGGTGGGGAGTAGGTCACTGGGAACCCATTGCCCCTCTCTCAGTCCTCTGCATTAAAACCTTGCCTCTCCCTCACAAACCCTAGCCCTGCCCCTCTCTCAAAGCCATGCTGCCCCTCTCTCAAAGCCATGCCTTCTCTCTTACAAGGCCTCCCTCGACACTTTCTCTGTTAATTGCGTACCATTGGCACAAAATACCCTACCCCAGGAATTTACTGGACTTATGGAAATGTATACAATGAGACAAAAGTTCGAAGTGAGTAGTTCACCTTGAGCACAAAGGTTCATTGTGAGCCTGTTCATCCTGCAAACTGTAGTTGAATGCTAAAAGGATTTGGATTTAATTAGCCCCCTATTAGTGCCCGAAGTTATTGAAATTTGAAATGGAAACTTCTCACATGTTCATATACTAACCTACAAATTTCAGGTCAAACTAAAATCATTTCATCCGTCGATGTTGCCACTAGAGGAGTCCATTTTTCAGGTTGTATTTTGCTACACGAAATTGGCAGATAATAAAGATAGACTTTGATTGAAACCTATATCGGTGATCAAATAGAATGTCATTTTTATTATGGATTTTGAATAGATTTATCAAGCAACCCATAGAGTTTCAGGTTGATTGGTTGTCAAGAGCATGATCTACCAAACGTTCGCCATGAACCTACTCTATATATATGGAGTTCACCTTGAGTGCAAATAGTATACTATATTTGATTTATTTGGTCCTCTTATTTAACTCCAAAATTAATGAAACTTTAACAGTAAGCTTTTAGGCCATCTACATAAAAAAATATCAATTAGATACTAAAATTGTGGCCTAAAATAAGTTCACAGGGAGCTGTTTTTCATAGTCTGTGGTTTGCAACGTGAAATTGGCAGTATTTTGAGTTTGATTTATTTGGACTCCTTAGAATTGTCTCAAATTTTTAACTTTAGATCTACCACGCATATTCGTATCGAAGTAAAAAGCCTCACATTGGTTGAATTCGTTAACTTCTTTTAGTTCACGACAAACTCAATTTTATTACTTTGCTGCAGAGTGCAATAGATGAGCATCCCTTAGCTATCTAAGTAATCCCAAGTACTTGATTGGTAGGCTGTCTGTGCTGCATCCTAATCTGCAGGCTAGTTCTCGCAGTCGTTCGTCATTGACCACAATACCAATAAGCTCAATTTGATCAAGATTGTCCTCTGCAAATTACAAATACGAGTTAATTGGCCCTGTTCTGAACATGGAGAAACCTTCCAGCAGTCCATTCTAGTATAGTCCTTCAATTGATCTACTAAAAATGTCTACAACTACAGCAAAGAGGAAGGCTGAAAAGATCTCTAAATGGAAGGAAGAATCCTAATGAAGCACCATTTACAAGAACAAAAACGTGCAGAAGAGATGCATTCTGCTACCCAAGTCCTACATTTGTTTCGAAAAGCCACCTTCTCCATAACTTCAAGAAGCATGTCCAAGTCAAAATGAGATACACAGAGACAAATTATTTTGAAATAACCTTGTTGATGCCAACAACAAAAAGATGCTGGCACCCATGGCTATGTCACTGTTGATTTGAATGAAGCCTGAGCACAAAAGGTTGTAGCACCCTGTGGCTTGCAAGGCATCACTCTGTTATCAAATTACAGACCACCAGTATTAGAGACTGATTGATTTGAAGCCCACGCACCTAATAATGAGAGATAGAGAGAGAGAGACTCACAGTCCAGTAAGTGAAGAGCTTGGTGTTGTCCCCATACAGATATGGGCTTACCTGTTTCCCATGGGAATATACACGGAGTATTATTATTAGGGATTGTATATAATGAGACCATTTACCTTTGGAGAAGTGATATGATACAAAGGTTGTATTATACTATGATGAAATGGTGAGTTGGCCTAATTTTAGCCATTGGATTCTTTTGAATCCAACCGGTGAGAACTTCATTATAAAATTTGAAATATTTTGATTCAAAATTTGAATTCAAATTGAAGTGCTCCTTGAAAACCTGAAATCTCTTTGTGCGCCTCTATCTCCCGCTCATCTCCTCACTGCTGCCTCTCTCGTCTTCCCCTCCGGTCCCTCTCTCCTCTATCTTCCTCTCCTCATTGTCGACCCTAATCCTCCCTTTCTCTCTTCTTCCCGCTCCAAGCCTTCTCTCTCTTCTTTCTTCACTCATTTTCTTCCTCCATCTCTCTCATTAATCCCAAAAAAAGTGGACTTCATATCATTAGCAAACTCAGAAGCTCCAAATAGCCAAATCAGTATGGCTCAAGAAACCCAAACAAATTATAAAGTTATTCTTCCGATATTTCTCTCAAAAACCCCAATTCGAAATGAGGTATGTTTATTCCTTCAACTTAAGTTTTCTTTTTACCTATCTTGGTTGAAATGAGAATATTTTGGAAGAACTTGTGTTGTAAAAAATGGTTTTTGTCTTTTTCATTTAAATTTTTTTTTTTGGTGTGCATTCCATTAGATCTTAGTTTATAAACAAGGGGAAATATCATCGTACCCCTTATTTTTTTGTTTTCATATCTCAATAGACCCAAAGAGCCATAATATATGGCCTAACCCCCTGATTAATTTTATCACTTTTAACTATTTTTTTAACCTTAACAAATATAAAAAAGACATACTCATTATAAACCCTTTATCTCTTTAAGTGATATACTCCCCCCAAATTTCTCTCTCGAACATTCACCCTTTTTGTCTCTCTAACTGAGGAGAGAGAGTGAGAGACACATGGGGAGAGAGAGTGGAAAAATAGGTAAAGAGAGAGATTTAGGGAAAAATCACGTGAAGAGAGAGAAAAGATGGTATTTAGAAAGGATATGTCTTTCTTATATTTGTTTGGGGCAAATAAATAGATTTAAAAGAGAGAAAGTTAGCTTAAGGAGTTAAAAGATATAAAACTTAAAATTTTTATGACCATTGATATGTTTTGAAACCTTGGATCTATTGAGATATAAAACTTAAAAATGGGGGGTGTAGATATATTTTCCCTATAAACAATTATAAACTAATTTTGTAAACAATTTTTTTTTTGAATTTTAGGGTTTTTGTTTTATGAGCTCCAGGATAAAAAATATTTTCTTTTTAATAATCCCTAATGTAGGAAATCAAATCTTTTGTATAAATTTTTTTTATATAAGATTTAAAATCCTAGACCTGAATTTTGTAGTATGCACACTAGAAAAGAGCTACAACGAGTGGGTTGTGGATTCTATGAGCTTCTTGGTCAAAATAATTTGAAAAGCTTTTTGAATGCGCCTTGTATTGAATGCATCCAGATATCTATGATTTTTTATAGAAGAAGTGATTTTTGGGAGCTATTAAAGCCTAAACCTATTTTTTGTAGTGTGGAACGGGTTGTAGTTTTTTTTTTCTATTTTTTTATAATGAATTTTCTGGTTATGGGCCTTTGAACTGTTAAAAGACAATGATTTCTTAACTGATTTAACTAGTTCTCTTGCTTCATCATCATCAAAGCCTTTTCGTAGCTATTTGGGGTCGGCAACGAGTTCTTTTCCTTGAACTCCTTAAACAATTGTATCTTTATACAGTATTTCTTACTCTGTTCAAATTCATGTCTATGAAATTGTAGGGATTTCTCATCTTCAGGTAGTTTCTATTATAAATTCTAAGACATGGTGGGGCAATAGTTTTATTTTGCTTTTCCATTTTGCATTCATGAGAAGCATGTTTTTCTTTTGAATTTGTTTTATTGGTTCTTAGTGGGA